CGCACTGACCCGGCGGCGGCGCGCAGGCGCCCCCTGCTGGCGCCACTCGGGCGGCGGCGGCGGCCCTTCGCGGTGGTCCGGACGGCGCAGGGAGGCCCCTCCCGATTCCAGCTGCGAAATCGCATTAAAAGCCGCTAAAAATACCCCGAATACTTTCCTGATGTGGTTTCTTTCCGAGGGAGGGAGGGGCCGGGCGGCGGGGCTCGGGCGCCGCGCTGCGGACGGGGGGCTGCGGCGGGACTGGCGGTCACGGGGGCCGAACGACGGTGGCAGCAGGGTCAGGGCGATGCCCCTCGGCCCTGAAGGCAGGTGGCAACGAAACTCTGCCGGGTGTCCGGTCACGCCAGCMCTGAGTGCGACGAAGGGGCTGCGTCGGGCATCCGCTGCCCTCGAARGGGGCGAGGGCCACAGGCGGGAGACAAAGCACCGGCCCAGGCTGGGCTTAAAATTCATGACCTGGGCCTGTTCGGGTCCCTCTGCCGGGGCGTGGCCTCACTGCGACCCCGCGCCACGCCGGCCTTCCTCCTCTGTGTTGCGGGCTGGGCCCGTGCCTGCTGCCCGCAATACCAGGGAGGGGTTCCCGGTCCCTGGAGTGGGCATGAGCCCTTCTCTTGGCATCACCTGGACCCTGCCCCTGCCCTTCTCCCGGGACAGCAGAGGGTAGTCCCTGAGCCAGCGGCTTTGTGAGTTCCCACCCCATGGCACTGGCTGCACTGCCAAAGGAGCCAGCAGGTTGGTGGTGCCTTGGAAATGTGGGGCAGGGACAGCTGCTGTGGTAGAACTCTCTATGGAAGAAAGTTCTGGATCTTCATGCTCTGGGAGAGGTGGAGCCCTGGGGACATACAACCCTTTTGCTTGGARCAGTGGTGTCCTCCAGCAGCAGGCAACAGTGCAGCTGGAGACACCTGGGAGCACTGGACACAACTGCAGGGAGCCTTCCCTCACCAGCGTGTTCAGGGGCCTTGGGCTAAGAGAGCACTGCAAGCTCTGAGGCCAGCGGCTCGCCCAAGACTGAGAGTGGAAGAGGTTGACAGGAAATCCATAGGGCAGCTGGGGGTACTGCATGGCCTGTGAGCCCATTCCCTGCAGCTCAGAGGAGATGGGAGGGTGGSCTGCTAACTGTTTGCTTCTGCTTTGCTTGGGGAAGAGAAATTCAGAGTTCTTTGATGGAGCATATAAAGATGTAACAAGCTCTAGTGGCTCCAAGATGATGTCAGGGAAATTACGACTTGAAGTAAGATGCAAATTCTGACTGCTGATGTTAACTATCCATGGAATATTTTTATGCAGATTGGGATGGATGTTTCTAGAGCTCCCCAGGCACTTCCAAAATGAATTTTGGATGCTTTACACACTGGGATCTCCTCTACCCTGCTGCCTGGTTGGAGGTCATGCTAAATGCAGTAGAACTGATTGCTTTGGACTCCAGTAATCCATTTGCTACAGTGCTGCATGGTGAGTTATTAGTTAAGATGGAGATAAGTATGGAAATTATAAGAAATTACGAGAGTTCCCCAGAGGCTGGTCCTGGGCCCAGGTTTTATTAATGATCTTGGCACACTGAAATGGATGTGCTTATGAAATTGGCTGCTTATCCAAAACTGGAGGCATTGTCAATACAGGGAAGGATTGGGATATCCTATAGGAGGGAGTAGGCATTTTTGAAGGCTAATACAGAAGAAATAGGATGAAATAGAAGAGTACAAAATGCAAGGTTATGTTGCTAATACCTGAGATCAGACTTTTCTGTTAYAAGCTGACAGTGGGGGCTTACTGCTTGGAAGTAATTGTGGAGAAGGATTTAGGTGTTGCCACTCACTTTCTGCCCCAGGTGTTGCTCTGTGGGTTGAAAAGAGATGGGTAAGGAAGCTCCATGGTCTGATGCACACTGGAAGCGATGCCAGTGGCTGTGAGTAGCAGTCATTAACAGGTTGCACATCTTGTGCATGCTGGAATCCAGCTAGGCTGAGGGAGAGCCTGACAGGGCTACTGAACGTGTGAGCATCATAGGAAATATTTCACATTTGGCAACTCTGGCTGGGGTTTGACAGTCTGAGCTGGGGCTGATGTAATGTGAACAGTATCTGTTCTCATGGAGATCAAGACAGGCAAATGCATGGGCTTTTGCTGCCTGTCAAAGCCCCTTCTACCTTCCAGAAAGAGGAACCTCTTGTTTGAAGCTTTGCAACTGTTAGGGGATTTCGTTCTGGAGCTTACAGAAATAAAAATATTTGCCATTGTTTCCCTTCTCCAAAACCCCTTAGAGATGGGGTAAATACTTGGGAGGTGCATGGAGAAAAAAAACCTGCAGAAAAATCAAACTGAGATGCTTGGAACAGCCAGTGTGCCAGCTGCCAGTGTGGAGCAGGCTACAGCAGCAGTCTGCTGAGCGCTTTGCTCACCAGTGAAAGCTTAATGTTTTTAATGAATTGGCCTATATCAAAATTGGGAGTCTGCCTGCCCGCCTGATGCGAAGATGGGGTGAGGAAGAAAACCCAGTGCTGTGTCACTTGTTGCTACTGGAATTGCCCTGCATCCCATAAATCCTACTGCTGCCAAAGAGCTTACAAAACCTTTGGCCACTCTGAATAAGGTGATCATTATGCTACCACGTGGGCTTTCCACCACAGCTGTAGCTTTAACTACATGTGTGTGCCCGAGCTCTGAAGGGGGTCTAGGACCAGAAGCATATGGCAGTGCTCAAGTGTGATTGCTTTCCCAGACTTTCTCATGGATAGTAGGACCAGACACAAGCTCTATTCATATATCTGTCGAGTCAAGGAGTGATCAATAGTAAACAGCACTAGTGGGGGACTCTGTTAGTCCTATTCTGCATGATCAGGTTTGTGTGGAAACCAGATGGAGAGAGTCCATGCTTAGATGTGAGAACTTGTCTGTGAAAGGAATGCTTGCATAGTTCTTACTCGCTGTTCAGCTGAAAGGGGGTGGCAGCAGTGTGATTTATAGTGAGGGCCAAACCAAACAAGTAAGGCAGACTGAGAGCTGAGAATATACCTGAAACTTTACACTGGAAAAGAGAAACCCTGGCACCACAGACCTGAATTGGACAGAAAGCAAGCACTGAAAATGGCTTTGGACAGCCACAGCAGCAGCAGACACTTGCCCTGGTACCTGGCTCCTTCTTGGTTGGTTGAGCTGCTCTAGGCCCAGGGTCAAATGCTGTCTGTGGTGTCACCAGTAGAGCAGAGGAGAGTTAAACTGTTCAGAAAAGGTGACCCCAATGCTTAAGGCAAGCAAAATCCACTTTAGCCACAACACGAAATGATGGATGAGAACCCTTTTTCTCCTGTTGCCCTCCCCAAGCAGGCAAAACTATGTCAGGGTAGGTGACAAACCCCATTCCAGTAAGTGGAGTCAAGAGGGACTCACGGTCAGGTAGATTTTAGGTTTCATTCTTTCTGCACATCTGCCTCTTTTCTCTCATTGAGAATCTCTGGAGTCAGAAGTCAAAATTCTGAGGCAAGGCGCATTTCCCCAAGTCCTTACGTGTTTTCTTTCTGGCACATGGACTCCACCCTCCCTCAATTGGCCTGAGACTTCTACCCCTGAGGTAGGCAGCAAGCAGCACAGACTGTCCTGCGGGGAGCTGGGAAGTATGGGTGTAGTGTCTAGGATGGGGACTCAGGGGAATTGTGAGAAGAAGCTTGGAGGGAGGGGGAGAGCAGTTCCAAACAAATGAACGGACTGGTCCTGCTGCTTCATGATCTGTCTGTCCAAGATGGCATTCTGTATGGCTCTACCCTGGCTCTGGGAGGATCACCCTGCCAGCTACCTGTGTGGGAGCACAGCTGGAAATGCACTGCTACCCAAGGATTCCTGTCCCAGGGATGCCTTCCTGTTTCAGCAGTCATTGATCTGGATGCTATGATGCTCCTCTTAGGATGCTCTTTTTTTCTGATCAAGAAGGTTGGCTGTAAGCRTAGTCTGACCCCGAGAGCTACACTGCCCTCTCTCTCCTGGTATTTGTGCAACTGTGTTGCAGCAGCTGTTTGGAGGAGTTGGTGAGAACTGGGAAATGCAGGGCCATATTCCTATGGCCCTGGTGGCGAAGCACGAGGCTAGGTGAAAACTGCCCTCTCTACTTCATGAATGCTTGAATTTGTAATTAAAAGACAAGAACAAAGGATCCGGAAGATCATAATTTCATAGAGCYCAGCGAGCCTGGCTTCAAAAAAGGAAAATCGTGTCTCACTTACTGAATTCCTTGAACATGTCAAGGTTTGTAAAGGGAGATAATATCTTTTATTAAGCCAACTGATACAGCTGGAAAAAACACACAAGCTTTCAGGCACAGAAACCCTTATTGTATGTTTTTTTCCAGCTGTATCAGTTGGTCTAATAAAAAGTTATTACTTCTGCCCACAAATCTTATTTCACTTAATCCTTAGATCATCACAGCACAACTATCTGAACATGTCAGTAAGAAATGGAAAAAAGGAGAATTATTTGATACAATTTATTTAGATGACCTAAAGCTCCTCAAGCCAAACCATGAGCTTCTACTAAAGCTAAGCAGGTATGGAGTGAGATCTAGTGCCTTTAGTAAAAGGTATTCCTGGGAGACTTAAAAGTTTAGACTTACAGAGTCAATTTTCATCTTGTTAAAATGTTAACACTGTAGTTTGTGGTGTGGCAGGGTTCTTTATTTTAGCAGCAGAAGAAATTATTTATACTAATGAGGATGGGTGAAGACTGTGAGGAATGTCAGATAGCAGAAAAAAATATAGGCAAATGGACAAAGTACTGGAAAATGGAAKGTTTATTAAACATTTTGAGCTAAAAACAGATCTATTTACCATTAATCTGTACGTCTGTCCAGCCAAGAAATGGACGGGTCGTTTTATACAGCTCAGTGGAAATCTCTGCACAAGGCACGGTTGAGAAACGTGTGTGTAATCATCGTTGTGCTTACATTTGATCCTTGGCACTGCCTCCGCCTTGGGCTCTGGGGATCGGCAGCCCCATCTGGAAAGCTGTGTTAGAACCAGAAAGAATTGGGAAGAGCATCAAAAGCCATCAGGAGACTTTGGCAAAAGCCTCTGTCAGGAGGCAGATCTGTAATGCTCGGATTATCTGCCTTAGCGAGAACTCAAAAAGTGTCTTCAGCAAACAGCCGGAGAAGGAAGAGCGTCAGGCTGTTCCTGGCCTGGCCCACTGTACGTGGAATTAGGGCTGACAGAGTACCCGCGTGAGGTGTTGCGGCACTGGGTCACCCTTAGTCAGGCCCAGGTTTTAGTACCGCGGGGAGAGGATGTTTCCGTGGCCGCCCAGCCCGCGGCCGGCGGGTGGAGCGGGGCTCCCGGCCGAGCCCGGCGGGGGCCGTGCCCGCGGTTGCCGGGGCGGCGGGGCGGGCTGTTCGCCGGAAGCAGCGGCGGCCGCGGCGGCGAATGGAGGCTGAGCCGGGGCGAGCGGAGGCGCCGCGGCGGGGAGGCGTCGCCGGGGTGAGCGGGCCCGGGGCCGGGGCGGGCCCAGCCTCTCCGAGCCGGGGCTCCGGGGCCTTGGAGCGCGGGTCGTTCGCGGCCCGGGGCGGGCGCGGGGTTGGCGGCCCGGCTGCCGTGGGGGCCGTGCGGCGGAAGGGCCGGGCCGAGCGGCCGGCGTGGGCCGGGAAGCTACCGCGGGGCTCACAGCTGAGGCGAATGATGCCGCTACACCGGGAGGGCACCGCCCCTTGCTGCGGGGCGAGCCGTGCCTTGCGTTCTGCCCCGGCARTGAAACTGCTTTTGTCAGTAACCGTGTGTGCTCTGTTACTTTGTATTTCCCCCTGCACTACAGGTACTAAAGATGGGCCGTCGAGCCCGCCAAGACCTCTTTGCAGATGAAAACCTCAGCAGGAAGAATTCCCCGTCTGCTTCTCTTGGAGAGGTGGGTGTCCTGTCAGGAGGACTTGTCTGATATCCTGCTGGTGTCTTCAGTGGAGAATTACTCATTTCTTCWGAGATTCCTTCCCTGCATGGTGTGTCCTTAGAGCTGGGACTCAGTAGCTGYCCTGTTCCTTTCTTGGTGTTGCCCTTTGTATAATAGTTTCCACACARGGTCCTATCTAGGGCTATGGTTTCTCATGTGTTGAGTATGGAGAGTAGTATCATACAGGACTTGGGATCTCTCCCTCCTGTGCATGCATATCTTCCTGATATTTTAATTCCCAGAATTAAAATATGAGCAGGCACATCATTTTGTGGCCATTTTTTTCAGCATCTGTAGTAGCAAGAGTACAGGTAAACAGTTGCCTTACTTTTGTGCTTTGCTTTTGCTCGAGCCAGAGTACTGTGTTTGACATGGTCTCTATGAAATTTGCGTAGTGATGCTCTTTTTCCTTTCCTCCATGCACAGCTATAGAGGTCATGCTAGGAGCCAGTTTTGCAGCATCTGAGACTTTTCCTTGTAATAATGTGCAGACTCAGTTCCCACTTGTCTTTGGAGGAAAACTTTTGTTCAGAGGCTGTTCTACCAGTATGTCTTCAAATGGCAGAAGCGGGTCMGGAACCCCTCTTTCTCAGGAGAATAAGGCAACATCCTGAAGTTTTCAGAAGYAGATCTGAAATGTTTCAATTCATTTTTTTGCTTAGTGCTGGAGAATTCTCAAATTCTACCTGGAAGCTTGCTCTTGGATGGTAGCATGGCTTCTCCACGCACATATCCCCCTAGAAGGAGTACYTGTCAAGAAATGCCTTTCGGTAGCAGAAGGGTGAGGATTTCCATGCCTTACAACATTCAAATATGTTATTACTGGATCTTAACCACCAGGAAGAATAGTCTCCCTTCAGACAGATCTTTGTTCCTAAATGTTTCTGTTTATCAAAAACCTTGAGCTACTGGAAGAAAGACGAAATCCACTATAAATAATCCACAACCTTTGTCTTTACTTCAAAATGAGAGGCTTTTTGTACATGACCATATTTGATACCAAAGTGAGCATTCAATAGAACTAACACTGTTTTTACCTTCACCTTAGATTGGCAGTCAACTTTTACTTTTCTGGAAGCTTGGCCTAGGCTTGCTCTTAAGTGGTGGGGTCAGCTGTTACAATGGATGTCTTATTCAGCTACCTAGTCATCTTGGAACTTTTTAAAGAAATCTTCCCAAAAGAAATGCAAAAATTAAAAAAAACAAACCTGTCCTTTTTTCTGGAACTGACAGTAGTGGAGTAGGCCCAATGTACTTAATTCCAGCATAGAAGGTTTTATTCTTATTACTGATTTTGAAGACAAAAGGGTTTGTCTTAAACCTTGGCTGTATTCACATCTTCATATGCAGTTTCACATTCAGGTTGGTGATTTTGCCATCTGAAGTTCCGCAGAGTTTTAAAACTGGTTTAATTCACCTTGACT